CAGCAAGCTGTGAACTGATCTGAGACTGCAGCCCATTCCAAGGGCCGGCAAAGTACTGCTTCATCCTACCTTGAGCCTTGCATGCAGGCAACGGCGCTGCTCAAGAGAACGTTATGTCTCTGGGCCTCTGGCCGAAGCAGCCACCAACTACTTGGGACTTTAATCTGTGGCCGAGACAGCCGCGTTTGACACTTGGCCGAAACACCTGGCCGGAACAGCCAGGGCTTGTCCGCCCATGGAAGCACAGACGAGGGAAAGCAAATAGCAACAAGCATGTCCTAAATAACTTTTCGGTCCTTCGACGACAAAAACTTCTGGTGTGGACGATTAAGCGCTCATAGGGCAAGTTATCTATGGTACTTGTTTGGATGTACTGCTAAGGCTGCTGGGTAGGTAGCTCAGTTATATATTCTTAGGCAGTTGTGTCATCATGTTTGGGCCCGGGACTGACCACAGCAAGATCGTTGGCGATGTCACACCAGAGCAGAGCCACGTCGAAGAACAACTATGCAATCAAGTCAGCTATAGGCCTACGTCTTGAGTTAGATTGTGTGTGCCAGCGTGGTGGTTCCAGAAGACCATTTCCGAAATGTGTAAAGGGATGCCACGGACGATGCAATGAGTTTCGGAAAATAAGCTTCGACGAGTAACCCAAATAAAAAAAAACATGTTGAAAGTTATTTTTAGGGTAGTTTTTTCGGTTTTTTTGAAAACACCAAAAAAAACTACTAAACTACGGCTAAGCAAATCTAAGTTTTAGGATATGTATGCGAATTTCCCCAAGGACCTTCCAACTTTCTGTGGTCTTCTTTACTGTACCTCTAAGGATGCATGTGAACAACAACGCAGCACTAAACCCACCAGAAAAACCGTTGACGCGTCGCTTGTGCTTTAGAAAGATCTCGTCTGGGCCTACCTGTGAAATAATGGCCCGAAACCCAGAAAAGGCCATTATTCTACATACTTTTGGGGTCCGGATAAACCCTAAACCCCCATCGTGGCTGCTCCCTTGGAGGCTTCGCGCTGGGGCACCGTGGTGTTGTCTTGTCTCCTCGTGCATAAGAACTCGCTTAGACCATCCTTTTATGCTACTGGGCTTAAGTCTAGCCAGACCACGATCTGCAATCATCTTAACCCCGAAACCTTGAAACGTAAATCCTAGTCGCAAGACAGCTGGGACTCTCTCGGTGTCTGCAGGTGTTGTCTGAACTTCCCCCCCCCGGTATATTATTACAACATTCGGCTCCGAATAGTCGGGAGTCCAGCTGAACGAGCCGCCCGAATATAGAGCCTGAATACTGAATATAGTTGTTACTACTACTGTAGTCTTTCGAGCTCCCCATCACTGGCTATGGTATACTACACCCAAAATCCTATTGAAAGTATTGTATGAAACGCTAAACCCTAAAACCCTGAGAATCAAGCCCTCATTGTGGAACCCCTGGAGGGAACCCTATTCTAACATGCATGCCTAAACCCCCACCCCCACACCCCCCCCTAAACCCTAAACCCTAAACCCTAAACCCAAAACAAAAGCCGAGGTATCTTGGCGGGAACAGCCTTGGCCCTGGCTCTCCTCGAAACGCTCCAGGCACTGCCGGGCTCGTCGGGCACGGTTTCCTATTTATGTTCAGGGTTTAGGGTTTAAGGTTTAGGGTTTAAGGTTTAGGGCTTAGGGTTTAGGGTGGGTTAAGGGTTTAAGGTAACTGCATGGCCTGTCATAAGTAGGCGTTGTGCGGGGTTGCGCAGTCATGAGTGCTGCGCTGCTTCACGGCAACAGCAGTTCCGGGCGAACGAAGCCTACTGCAAAAGGGTTTAAGGTAAGTCCATTTAAGTGGATATGGAATCCTAAATATTTACCACGTTTTGCCACCCTGTTCTAGTGAGTGTGTCGTAGTAGTGGCATATACAGCAGAACATCTATGGACAAATCATGCAAGACGATGAGGAATCTCAGGTCCAAATCCCCAAACCCTAAAGTTTGAGGGTTTAGGCCAAGGCATAAGTCACCAGTGAGGTTTTCTCCGAGGCCGATTGTTCTTCTGGAGTATTGTGCATCGACTTTGAAACCCCATATGATTTGCGTTTAGGGGTACCTTGAGTTGAAGCTGTCATAAAGGTTATAATCATACTAGGCATAGTAATCTTAATAATATCATTGTTATCATCATTAATGCTGATGAAAGATAGCACTATAGTGCTGAAAAGAGTAAACAAGGACCCCAGCAAAGGCTGGACGTTGCTGACGGAAGACTCCCATGCAGGCATCATGAGCACCGAAACCAACCCCAAAACATAAGCCGTTGAGAAAAGCAGCTTATTTCCAATGAACCTTTAGGACATTGCATCAGGAGGCATGCTTTTCGGGCTTCTTATCACGATGTCTGCGTAGAACATATTTCCTGAAAGCGGCATATGCCTTTTCCGGGCCATAGGCCATAGGTATATTTTATTCCACATCCCTAACCCGAATCGCCGAAACACTTAATAAACCTAAACCCTAAACCCTCAACCTTAACCCGAAACACTTAACCCTACTGGTGCCTCTCGGGCAACACCCGAAGAGCGGCATCCAAGCTTGAGACCCCATAAGCTGGTAACCTTGGCCCTAGAAACGCCAAAGTCGCCCGAAGCCCCGAAAGCTAAGCGCTACTTCCAACCCTTGAATCTTAAAATATATCCCTGAAGAAGCCATCAAAAAACAGTTCGGAGCAAATCTGAACCCTAAAGCCGAAACCCCTAAACCCTAAACCCCTAAACCCTAAACCCTAAAGGGGGCCTGGAGTGGCAGCTCCTTCTGCGACGGCCTACTGGTGCTTTTGCAGCACTGCACAGCTTTTAGGCTTGGGGTCTTTATGGAGTTTGAAGGGATTCCGGGATTTTGAGATGTTAGGCTCTAAGGGCTTCAGGTTTTGGGAACAGGGGGTTGAGGGTTTAGGGGCTGAAAGCCCGTGCGGGATGGAATAGAACCCTGCAGCAATGTTGACCCGGCTGGGGCCGTCCGCAGTGTTGACCCGGCAGAAACTGTCCGTATCCTCACCCAAAGATATGAAAAGCTTTAGGGTTGAGGGTCAGCAGCTGGGCGCGGCGCAGACCGAAACCATGGCCCATCCAGGTGCGTGTCGCCACTTTGGACACGCCAGGAAGTTGCATAGCTTCAACAGTCACAACATTCACGAGGATCTCAGGTTCGAGGGGCCCATCCCTGTGACGGTTGGCACTTTTGAGACGACCCTCACGAGGATTTTGCGTATACCATGGGGGGGGGGCTACCGACGCGCGACACGGACATATATATATATATGTATGTATGTATTTATTTATTTTGATTTATTTATATTTGTATTTATATTCATATTTATATTTATATTTATATTTATATTTATATTTATATTTATATTTATATTTATATTTATATTTATATTTTATTTATTTGCTTTTCTCTTTATATATATATAGGTGTGTGTGTGTGTACATTTGTATAGCTAAATATATCTATATGTAGTTGTTTCCTTATGTAGCTGGCTACTTGCTTGCTTATTTGTTGATCCCTAAACCCTAATGCCTAAACTGGCCTAAACCCCTACACCAATAGCAGATTGAATGAAGCCTTAAACCCTTTAGCCCTAACCCATACACCAGTACAGAAAAACATGAGGACCTTAAGCCCTCAACGTTCCCTAAATCCTATACCCTCTGAGGAGTTTGCCTTGGTATTTCTGAGCTTCGTGGCTGCGGCCGGGAGTGCGGCCCTGTTGTACAGCCTCTGGCCGGCTTAGGTTTAGGGCTTGGGCTTAGGGTTCACGGCCAAGGAGGGCTAAGGGTTCGGGGTTGAAGGTTTAGGCTGTTTAGGGCAAGTTTAGGATTTAAGGTTTCGGGGTTGAAGGGCTTTAGGGCTTAGGGCTTATGGTTCGGCGTTGCAGCCTTTATTTTGCCGGCGTGACTACAACAGGGGTCAGAATTATTGGTAGCACTACCCCTTTCCGGTCCCCCTGTAGTTATCGTAGAATATACTCCCCCTAAAAGTTTTTCTACATATTCATTGAGGCCCCGACATGACAGCAAGACACCCTGAGAAGAACGCTCGCTCAATCATCCTACGAGGCCGACATAGTCAAGATGTAACGATACAAGTAGAAGAAAACGGATACACAGCCACGGTATGTGAGCGTCTGTCTTTTTAATCCACATATACATATATTCATGTAATGTATATACATACACTAGCTTGTTACTTGCAACTGCTAACCGCACACAGTGACAGCCCTGATGCTTTAATTGCTCGAAGCCCAAGCAAAGAATGTTGGGCCGATAAACGCAACCCTGAACCCTAGCGTTTTAAAGTACTCCCCGTTTAGGGTTGAGGGTTTAGGATTAAGCATTATCCCACAACGTCTTCATGCTTCCAAAATCCTATCCGAGGAATACGTGGGCCCTTAGCATAAACCCCGAACCCGAAGCATCAAAAGCGACGACTTGTAAAACCTTAACTTAAACCCCGAAACTACGCAGCCATTACTTACACCTACACCTCGAGATTTCAGCCCGTCAACCCCGGGCATTAACGAAAATGCTGCAAAGACCAGCAGTCGTCGGGCGAAGAGATGGCAAAGAGAATGTGGGCTTTGGGGCATGGCGGTTCACGATTTCAGGGTTTAGGCCTAAACCTTTATCCAGAATTGTGGATACTTGCGCGCTTAGACGCACACCCACATGCACAGACATGTATGTATGATATATATATATATATACACACACATTATCCTGATGACGTTGTAGGGTTTGCACCGTGCTCGTGGCGTGTGCGGGAGCAGAGTCGTGCAGTAAGTACGGTAGCTACGACTTACAACTTATAAACCCATTCTTTACCTGCAGATCATGTGAACTGTGAGGTTAGGGTTTGAGATGCTGGTTTCGGCAGTGCAATGTCGTTCCAATCTGCAGCCGGTGCCGGCTCAAGATTCACGTGAACCCAAAACTAGTATCCGCTACTGAAGATCATGGCATCTCTCCACGCCCAGCAGATGGAGATGCTCTTGGCGTGCACCTGCAACTGCTTCTCCTCCGTGGGGCCACCCGACTCGGCTTAGACGGATGTTTCTCCCAGCGAGAGTTTTAGATTACACGGTCGGGGAATATATGACGTGTGTAACGGGTGTTTGGGGACGGATGCTTGCTAGTTCTGCTGGCCTTATTAGGTGTAGAAGTGTAGAAGACATAGATAGATAGATAGATAGATAGGTACGTTTATTTAGTAGGCATGTTTGGTGTCTTCGTGCGTAGACTAGCCCTGAGCCCTCAATCTGCAGCTGCACACCCCAAGTCCAAACCTCCACCCCTAAACCTTGCCTCGCTTCTAGCAGTCCCTAAAACGGAGCCCTAACGAACCTCCAAGCCGAAGTGAGCACACCCTAAAAGTAGAAAGCCCTATCCCTCAAACCCTATGAGCCATAAACCTTAATTAAAACCTTAGCCTAACAAGCAAGCCTCAAGCCAAAGCGAGGATGCTCCTCTTCAACAAGCTGGCAGTCCAGGCGCTTCCTCTGGAGTGCAGCCTCTTTGATGAATCGTCGGGATGCTTTAGGGCTCAGAGGGTTTGCATGGTTTGGGGTGTCGGGTGTTTTAAAGCGATTAGGGCTTTAGGGTTTCGGATTTGCGAATTGGCCGCCCGAAGCCCTAAACCCCCGGGGCCCGGGGGCCCTGCGATCCTTCGTTTCTTTGCTTCCCAAAGCCCTAAACCCCTAAACCTCCAGAGAGATCCGCTTTTCTTGCCCAAAACCTGTAACCCCTAAACCCGGAATCCGTTTCGGACCGATTTCTCCGTCCTTCCAAACAGACCCAGGCCTGGTGTGGCTGCAGCTTTTCTTCGCTGCCTTCTTCATGCCGCCCGTCCCGGGCAGTTTGGAAATCAAAATGGGCTCCATGCTAGCCTGTCAAGACGAGCTGCAGAAGGATTCCATGAGAGCATCTGTACTAGAGATGTAGAACAGGTGTCTAGTGGAGTTTGTGATTTTGTTGGCATTTTTCGGCTCCAGAATTCCGTAGAATTTTTTAGGAATCCTCACCACCATCGGCAACACGAACTATAGGTGCGAGGGTACTGCCAGTAGCAAGGCTTTAATCGGGAACCTGGCTTCATCGAACAAGTCTAACCCAAACCCAAACCTCTTGCACAGCGCATGCTTGTGGTAAGTATACATGTAATCTCTCTCTCTCTCTCACACTCTCTCTCTCTGCATGTATATGTATGTACATTATATGTATGTATATATATATATATGTATGTATGTATGTATGTATGTATGTATGTATGTATGAATATATATATATATATACACATACATGTATCTCTCTCTATATATACATATATATATATATGCATGCATGCATGTATGCATGCATGTATTTGTGTATATATATATATATATAAAGTGGATAAACAAACCCCTATAGCCCTCAACCCGAAAACCTTGAACCCTAAGCCCCAAAAATCCCCAAACCCCTAAACCCACAAGTCCATGCAAAGCTTTTGAGGCTCATCTTCGGCTTCCCCTACTTGCACATCGGCTCCCTGCGGGACTTCCTGCGCTGGTGCATGGTAGTGTCCTCAGTGAGGTGTCAGTTCCATGATAGCTTAAGGTTAGGCCCTCCGAAGCCCTAAACCAGCCTTAAACCCTAACCCCCAAACCCTAAACCCCTACTGTATAAATCTGTCTTACGGACTTTTAGCTGGCCCAGTTCTCCCCTCATTGGGCCTCTAAAGGCCCCCTGTAAGACCATACAGAAGGGTTTCGGGTTTAGGGTATGGGAGGCCCTAGGAATCCCTGCAGAACAGTTGCTCGGGTTGAGGGTTTGTAGGGTTTATAGGACTTCTAGGGTTTATAGGGCTTATAGGGTTTATAGGATTTAGGGTTTATAGGGTTGAATTGCATTCTTTGTGATCTTTGCCGGTCAATTAACGAACTCCTGTAGATCCCTAACACCCAGACCTTTCCCCGCAGGCGATCTTGTCAAAACCCTATACGGTAAGGCTCAATGCAATAAACCCCTAATTCGTCGTCTTTGTTCTCAAAGCCTCCTCGCTTGTGGGCATTGATCCTTAGCCATGTGAGAGGGAAAAACTCCACAGCCCGGCCTAAACCCTAAACCCTTCAGAGTAATAAGAGCGTTTAGGGTTTAGGGCAACAAGCCCATTAAACCCCAAAGCCCCCCCTAAACCCTAAACAGTACACCTCAAAAAGCCGCAAAGCCTTAAACCCAGCACCCAAAGACAAGAGCGTCAAGGTGGTGCCCTGCTTCTGCGGCATGCTCTTGACCTCCATCCTAGCCTTGACCCTCAGCATGAGCAGCATTTTAGGATCTACGGACTTGTAAGGGATTAGAGCTTAGGGTTTTTAGGTTGGCTTCGGATTTGGGGTCTGGGTTGAGAGTTCAGGATGTAGGGTTCGGAGATTTGGGTTTGCCGGGGTGTATCAGGGTTCAGCCTAAGTCAGGGCTCTAGGGCATGTAAGGGTTTAGGTTCGTTTACTGTAGGCTTTGAGGCTTAACAGGGTTTAGAGTACATAGATGACGGTTATGGGCTGAGATTAGCTTAATATGTACTCGTCTCTCAGAATCTCGGGTTGAAGAACTAGACCATCTCCAGGATATCCATTCTCGCCTTTTGGGGCAGAAGGCGACAGACATAAAGGGAAGACTTTGCTTGCTTACCTCTATGGCCACGCGTTGTTGCTGTCATTGCCTTTGTTGTCATTGTTGTTCTTATTCTCAATGGTCTTATGTCTTATGGCCTTTGTGGTTTATTGAGGCCCTAAACAAGCCTGGACAATCAGGCCTATTAGTGTTGACTTTGATTAGGTCACACGGACCTCCCTTCTTTGTCTTCTAGGGTTCAGGGTTTAGGGTTTAGGGTCCAATGCTCATCGGTTTCGTCGCAGATGTTTTCGTCTGGCGCAGGGCCGTGTAGCGTCAAAACACAATGACGACTGTCAGCCAGAGACTCCACAGCGCCTTAATTAATTCATGGACCTTATCTAGGGCCTGAATTACAGTAGGGTTGTGGGGTCTATCATACTTGTATTATAACCGGAACTTGTTGCCAATCTTGAATGCCGCTATATCTTTAAGCAGTAACACTCCTTCGCGAAGGTCTTTGGAGTCTTTGGGTCACACACTTGTTGAACAACCTTTTGACGCAAGTGCCTACGAATCGCCGTCCCGAAATCTTCGTAGGTAGCCGACACTTTGGCAGCGTTGGGGTAATATTATGACCCCAAGACAGCAAAGCAACCAGTGTCCTTGCAACACACTTCCAGAAAGCGAAAAAACGAATCTCCCTACCCCAAATCCAGTACACCGGACATAAATCCGATATAGCCAACTTCAAATAAACCACATATTAATATAAACCTCATCTAGACACTAAACTAGACCTGCAGAAGAAGCCGAAGTCAAGAACCCAAGAAGCGTCTCGAGGAAGAGCGCCCCTATGTCCCTAGTCATCGTACTTCGCAGTGCCTCACCACTCTTCTCCCTGCCCCGTGGCTGCAGTGGAAGCCGTTTAGGGCCTTGTTGGGGTTAGGATTTGGGGTTTACGGATTTTTGTGTTTAGGATTAAGGATTCAGGGGCTGAGTTCAGGGTATAGGATTTGAGGGTTTAGAGTTTGGGGTTGGGGTTTAGGGTCGGGGTTCAAGGATTTAGGATTTGCGGTTTTGGACTCGAGGAATTGGGGCTGGGGTTTAGGGTTTAGGGAAGGTGCAGCAGAAGGGTTGATGTTGCGGGTTTATAGAACCCTCATATCGTAGATAGCGTGTATCTAACCATCATATCGTATATTTTTTATGGAACCCTTTATAGTTGCTTGTATCGAACCACCATATAGTGTTTTTTCTTCATAGAACCCTTTATAGAACCCTGATATAGTAGCTTGTACCGAGCCTTCATATAACATCTTCTATGGAACCCTTTATGGAGTTATGGAATCCTTATGTAGCAACGCTTATGGAACCCTTCTAGGACGCCCCATCATCGCCGAGGCTCATCGAGCGCTTCTACCCTGAGCCACTTCGGATCAGCGGTCAGATGGTCGGCGCCATCCTGGTCATGGTGGCCGGGGCGGTGATGCTTCTTCCTCTTGACATGATGTAGGGTTTAGGGTTTAGGCCTTCCTACTAGCATTACTTGAGCAGGGTCCTGCGAGTTTTGGGGTATAGGTACGGTATAGGGTTTAGGGCTGTTGATGTGGATGAGCATGAATCGGGAGGGTTTATTCAGGTATTTAGGGCTGTCGTCTTTATATCAGTATTCGCCCCATTGCTCAGATATGCGACCGTCTCTCCCCCCGACACTCGACACTATGACTTGACAATTTCCAGCCTGTGTATGGTACTAGTTGTCGATGCATGGGGCTTGATTTTGTTGTGGTGTTTAGAACCTCCAGCGCGATTGCAGCTGCCCAGTCGTAGGCGTCAGGGGGGTTGGTGAACATCTACGAAGCCGAAGCGTGCTGTCGTTGTCGTCTGGTCGCTCTTGTAGTAGGAAAGCTCTAGTGCGATCCGATCATGATTGGTTGAGTCCTGAAGCGGAACCGAGGGCTTCAAACCATAGAGGCCTAGAGAGCAAGGTACGTCTCGCAGCTCCATTCGGAACACTGGGGGGGCATCGGATGGGTGATGCTCAACAGCGTGGTGGCTGTATGTGATCGGCTGCTTCAGCGCCTCTTGCTGTCCAAGGACCCGCTTCGAACACGGTATAAGGCGTAACTATAGGTGGCGTAGGGTTTAGGGCTTATAAGGGCTTGCAGGGACAGTTAGCTTGTTAGTCGCGTCGTTGAAGGAGCAGCACCCGGTGGACATCTCGAAGACCGGTATCACGATTATCAACAACATGATGCTTGGCATGTTGTAGGATGTGACAGAAACAATCCCTTCGCCTACACCTTACCCAACGCTTCACCCCACTCAAGCTCAGACCCAGACAAACAAGAATAACCCGAGCACGTGCTGTGTTCCACACTGTGGACTCCCGGCTCGTGACCGACCCCGTGAGAGCCCTTTTTGTTATTTTTGGAATGGCTGGGGGAATGGTAGACAACATCACTTGAGATCATGAGTACAGCTTCAGCAAAGAGAACAGATGGAGGTTCTTTGTCAAGCCTATACATACACCGAAGACAACCGAAGCCTCGAAATGGGAACCACTTCGTGCCAGACCCCAACATCTAAATTTCAAACTCTAAGCCCGAGCCCCTTGACACTGTCCAGTACCAAAGCCTCCTCAACGTCGAACTCAAGACTTCAGTAGCCGAAATTACGGACAAACCGAAAGGGCAGCAGAACTCTGAAATGCCATTCTACCAAAGGATGGGGCTGATCCCGGTTGGCCTTGCAGCCTACTTCATGGGCGAGGCTCTTTGTCCTTTGTGGCTTTACTCTGAACCCTAAACCCTAAACCCTGAACCCCAAACCCAAAACCCTGAACTCTGAGCCCTAAACCCTGAACCCTAAACCCTGAACTCTGAACCCTAAACCCTAAAACCCCCTTTTAAAGCGCAAACCGACGACCTGCCCCGCCTTGCAGCCCGCTTTCCTCTTTGCTTGAGGCTCCGTCCGGTCCCGAGTGCCCAGAGACTCCAATATCCCTTAATTATATTAAGGAATATACCGTAAATTATAATAGGGAACCCTAATATGATTTAGGGTATATTCCTTAATCAAGGGATATTGGAGTCTCTGGGTGGTTCTGTGCTGGGTTTCTGACTTCTGACCTGAAACATCGTATTTCTTCATAGGCAAGCCAGGAACGTCCCTGTGCTCTCAAACAAGGGCAACTGGCCCCGAACAGTAGGTAATTATTTAGGATCTCAGCGAGTGTAGATGGAGGGTTTGGGAGTGTCCCGGAGAATAATTGTCCGCAACAGTCTTTAAAGGCAAAGCCGATACAGCCCATCCAAAGGCTTAGCCGCTCAGCTCTGGAAAATAGAATTCAATCTCTAGTCCTAAAACCCATGATTTGAACCCCTGAGGCTTGTAGCCCTTAAACCCCCCAAGCCCTTTACCCTAAACCCGGTAAACCTGAAACCCCAAACCCTAAATCCTGAATGCGAGTTCCAATGGGAGCCAAAGCCCTAGTTCCCCCCAGCCCTATAAGCCCCGAACCTTCCCCAGACCCTCCATCTACCTTCTATTCGACCCTAAGTACCCCTTTTTTGGGACCATAGACCCCTATTTGAGGGCACAAGGAGGGCATCGCGCCCCATCCCGTCCTTGTGGGAGGTCCAAGCGTTTCCGGCGGCCTATGCCCACCTCACCAGCCTCGACAAGGCCTGGCCTAAACCAAAAACAAGCCCAATACCCGCCAAAACCCTAAAGCTTAAAGTAAAACCTCAAGCCCTACTCCTCCAAACCCTCAGGGTTCGATAACTTAGGAGTCCACCATCGTGGCGATGAAGTGCGCCATAAACGGTAGCGTGGTGCAGGGAGTCGACAACAGCGAACCGAATGAAAGCAGAATAGGGTTAAGGGTTCAGGGTTTAGGGAATATGGATGGTCGTTTGAGGACTATCCATTCGCATCCTGGGCGACCAGTACAAAAAGTGAGGTACTTGACGACCACGGTGTTTCTCTAGGGACCCGCTTGATCTGGCAGAAGATGTATCATTGTGAAGAAATTTCACAGTACGTTTAGGCCGAAGTGGAAGCAGGTACTTATAGCTACTGCAAATTCACTGCAATAACCCTAGCACTATAATAACTAGAGTGACCATGACCAGAGTAACATGGATCAACATGAACCTTTTAAGGCCTGTGCGATCCACTTGAAATCTCCAAAAGCTCTTGCCATGTGAAAGGGATCAACCGTAAGCCCTATACACACTAAACCCTAAACCTTAAATTCCTCAACCCAAAGCCCTCAACCCCTGAACCCTGTAAACCCCTAAGCCCTACGGTTGATGATATAAATCCTGCACGACCCGTAATAAGGAACAAACCATAACTCCCATAGTTTAGGGTCCTTAAGGTAATGCAGGATTCATATCATCAACAGTATGTTACCTTAAGCTTTATGGCCCCCTAAACCCTGAACCCTAAACCTGAACCCTGAACCCTAAACCCTAAACCCTAAGCCCTAGGTCTACATCGGCTTGAGCTGCGTCATCGGCCTTTCCATCGGCTTCACGGGGATCTGGGCCCAGAGTCTCATCAGCGCGACCAGCTTCCTCGCCTCTCGCTAGCTCATTCGGGGTTTAGAGGTTGAGGGTTCATGCTTTTTGGGTGTGGGGTTTAGGGTTTTTGCGTCTGCAGTTTCAAGCTTACGGTTTGTGGTATGGCTTGGTGCAGGGCGCCACCTCACACCAGTGAAGGCGGAAGTTTGTCTGTCCCAGCCGCTGTGACCATACCACAGGCAACAACCGAAGCCGGCTCCGGTTACTGGGGCCTCCCTCAATTCCCAGCGGTCGGGTCTTTGTGCCAGGGGGGTCGCAGGGTCGTCGTGTCAGCGCGGGCCTAAAGGCCGCCGGTGATTTCCGGTTGTCTGGGCTAGGGTTTGGGGTTTAGGGTTTTAGGGTTTAGCTCTGCCTGGCCTTTTTCTTCAGGGTACCCGGCAGTCGCAATAGGCCTGGATGCAAAAGGGTTTAGCTCACCCTGCTATGGGTGGACACGGCCGGCCAGTCTCCTTTGTCGCTTTTCAGTTTTATGGGTAGGATCCTAGAATCCACAGAGGAACCAACAAAGCCGATTAAGGGGCCAGAAGAGAGGTTGTGCTTCACAACTGGTTCTACAAGTCTACAAGTTCGGAAAGTGTGTTGGGGTGGCTTTGGTTGAGTTACCTCTACATCCAAAACCCCTAAACCCCTAAATCGTAAACCCGCTGTCATGGTTGCAGTGTCGGAGAGGCCAGGGTGGCATGTGCAACCAGGCCTTGCAAGACCCCTCAAATTGAGGAATATATCCTAAAATATATCAGGGATCCTACGCCCCGTGTTTTGGAAGGGCTTATATGGCCAGAGGGACATGTTTTGGGGTCCCGGTTCTGTTTTCTCTCGCTGTTCTTGTGTACGGGGTGTGTGTACATGTAATGAGAGGTGGTCCCTACAATTTACGGTACATTCCTTCATTAAGGGATATTGCAAGGACCGGGCTGATACTGCACCTCGGATCTTTTGTGACGGGCAAGTTCGTGTCGCAACGATGTTTAGGTGAAGCTGTGACTGGAGGCAGGATGGCAATGCTTGAGCCAAATTCCTTACACTAAGCCCCAAAGCCCCAGACAAGCTCAACCCCCGACCATGCATCAAGAATCAGAGCTGATGTGAGAGCACTGATGTGAGATACAGCCTGAATCCTGCATTCCTCTTAAACCCCCGGGTTGGTTCTTTCGGGGCCCTGAAGCCCTAAACCTCCGAACCCCGAAACCTCCGAACCACTAGGCCCTTAACCCCGGAACAGTAGATCATCCCAGGTCATGGTCAATGCCAACAAGTTCGTCATCATTGGCATCGAAGCCTTTGGTATGCATACCAAGGCGCGATTTGGATTCACCCTAACCCTATATCAAAAACCCCGCTTGAAAGTGTCTTTTTTAGGGGTTCGATCAGGGCTGTTGACGGGTTTTAGGGCGGTGTTGGATCTGGGACTTAGGCTGCGGAGGTTCAGCTTATGGTTGTACGGTAGGTTAGGTTTCTGCCGTATCCAGAGGTCATGGCGGGCAGTTTTCAGAATAGTTGAAAGACAAAACATAATTGTGTTTAGGGTTATTGGGGTCTAGGGTTCGTAATCCTGGATTATCGTTCAACCCTTCACGATTTACCATGCCAGTAGCTGCGAAGCCATCCAGCGGAAATGGCTTGAGTGTGGCCTGCACCTAAACCTGACATAGAGGTGACATAGAGTGGAAGCCAGGAAGTTTCAGCGTCGCTATCTTATGCCCCCTACAATGCAAGGTATATAGAATCCCAGCACAAGACTTTCTGATTTCTTCCGTAAGAGAAGCACAGGTGCTGACGCATGGTCAGATTCTCGGAGCCTGCCTATCTATCCTCGGTGGCATCCTCTATGGAAATGCTCGCTCGCAAATTGAGCAGGAGGACGAAGACTCTCACCTCGAAGTCTTGAGGACATTGTGTCGTCTACGCTTATATACATACGACATCGTACCTACTTGCACTTTTCTGAATGTACATGCGGGCGTGATATTTAAGTCATGGGGATGAAGACTTTCATCGGGGTCATGACGGTACGTGCCTAATGCGGCATTGGTGACAGAACAGCGATGGCAAGACAAAGAGTCGTCCGGTTGTTGTCGTTGCCGTTGTGGTTGCCGTTGTCGCTGTCGTTGTCGTGATCGTTGTGGTTGCGGTTGCAGCTGCGGTTGGGGTTGTGGTGGTGGTGTTTTGGTGGTGCTGGTGGTGCTGGCGTGCTGGTGCGGGTGCCGGTGCCTGTGCTGGTGCCAGTGGTGGTGGTGGTGGTGGTGGTGGTGGCGGCGGCGGTGGTGGTGGTGTGGGTGGTTGTCGCAGCCGCTGCTGCTGCGCCCCCGTCGCCGCTGCTGCTGCCCTCGCTGCGGCAGTGCTTGTAATTAGTCGTCGTCGTCGCCTCCGTCGTCGTCAGCTGTGCTGGTGCTTCGTGCGGCAATGCTGGTGACTATGACGATGATTACGCCCGCAATAATGTGTCACCACAGCCGCCACCACGATTATGACAACCACCGGCGCTCCTTTACCTCCTCCTTGCTAGTGACTGATGATGGTGAGCATTAGAGCAAACGAACGTCAGGGGCTTCATCTGCTACCTGCACCATTCCAAGGAGCGGAAGCAGCTGCTGCCTGACGCCAAGGTGGTGTAGATGTAGGAGTCTTGGTAGAGCTGCTGAAGGGTGGCTAATGAGCTACTTGCAGCTCCATGCCTGTCGACTCGTGCCCAGAGGGCCGACGCGGTTGCCGAACGGCACTGGGAAAAGCAAACTACCCGCCGTCCTTCCGTCGGGGACGTCCACATATGTCCGGAGCTGTTTAAAGTTTACGTCACTAACCGCCAAGACCTGAAAAGGTTATATTGTCCAGGAATCTCGGCTTGCATAAGGCGGCAAGACCAACACAAAAAAGCCATGTTAGGGTTGGCAAGTTGGTGCTTCCTACAACAACCAGAATCGAAATAAGTTGCTTGGGAAGATTTTGCTCCAGTTTGGACAAGGAGAAATTGCAAAGTTGAGGCTCGCATGAGCAAGGTATAAAAGACGGACCAGGTATAATAGACGGACCAAGGTGCCCAGATCGGCGAGCGTGCGGCCGCAGATGGAAGCATGACGGGCTCGGTGTGGGCCACAGAGCACTTTGGTTTGTGAATCCGATTGTCCCACCTAGTACTCCTTCCGATCCAGGCCCTGCAGCTTACGAGTAAAAAGACTCAGGCGGTTGTATAAATAGGCTCGGCAAGCCAAAGCATGTAAGTGAAGAGTTCTTGACTCACTGTAAGCCCCTTGAGCCGTTCTCTCCGAAACCCATAATAATTAAACTCCTAAAGCCCTAAACCCTAAACCCCTTAACCCCTTATGTAACCCTGAACCCTTAAATCCCTAAACCCTAGACCCTAACAGCCCCTTGGGGCCTTTTTGAAAGGCTCGCGCCAACCCGGGAGTCTCGCATTCCACGTTCCATGCCTATTAGGCTTTAGGGTTTAGGGGTTAGGGTTTGGGGTTAGGGTTTAGGGTTAGGGTTTAAAGGGTTTTAGGGTTTAGGACCCTACCTATAGTCTCCATTGTAGTTCCTTCGTTTGGTTTAACCAAATCTATATCAAGGATCCTAAAAGGTAACCCCAAAAAGGAACTACAATGGAGACTATAGGTACTCCCAAAACCCCCAAAAGTAGGTAACATAATAGCTATTATTCTACATACTTTTGGGGTCCAGGTCTGAGTATTGACATTGATTATTACTGTTGTTGTTTTGGATTTTGTTGTTATTGTTCTTCTTCTTGTTCTTATGATTAGTGACATTATTAGGATTCTTACGGTTATTAGTATCATAATCATTGTTATGATCAGTATTATTCGTATTATCGTTCTGGCCAGTATCGTTATCATGATTATTGGTGCTACGGATATTTTTGTTGTTATTAGTCTTAGTGTTATTATTATTGTTCTGATTATTATTCTTATTGTTGTTGTTATTTCTGTTGTTTATCTTTGTTATTAATTTTTGTTGAATACCAGTATCACCATTGCTATTGTTGTTATTGTTATACAGCTAAGTTTCGCGCATGGAGCGCCCGCGGCTGTCTTCCCGTCGCAACTGAAAAAACCCCAATGCGCAGTGTCAGGGGTTCGGGTGCAGGGATTTATAAGAGTTTCAGCTTCAACACCACAGGACAAGGAAGCCTTGAAACACTTCAGGTCGGGTATAGTCTGTATTTACATGCAAGGAAAGCTGCCTACCGGGCTTCCAGTTAGTCATCTTCTTTCAATGTGGAATAGGTATCGGGCGCTGTAGTTCTTGGAGTTCAGAGGTTCTGCTCGATTCTATATACGGTTTAGGGAGGGAGGATGGGGCTTAGTAAGCCCAAGCAGCCTATGCCTATGCAGGTGCATCGCGATGTTCATCATAGCCTGCAGGACACGCCTCTTACATCCCTGCTTCGCGGTTTATCTCGGCGCTGGATTGCAGTATGTAATTCAACTGTATTATTATGTGATGCTCTGACGATAGGATCCTGTCCGTAACTTATAGGCTTTTGCGGGGGGGCTAGGTCAGTGGGGTCGGTGCTCTTTCGGACGATTTGTCGCTGTCTTGAGGGGTGTTCAATGCCACCGGACGAACTTGCAAGTCTCCAAACTTAACGAGTTAAGATTGAATACAGCTGGGCCCTCACTGCCCCTGAAGTTTCGTGGCCCCTTCTTCGCCTGGACAGTCATATTCCGAGGCTGGATCTCGCAGAAAGCACCTACATGTTGAGCAAGGCATGCAATGCAGAAACCTAGATTCGTGAATCCTACCCTGAAGGGTTTTAAGTACCAATAACGGGAATTCTTACCCTGACCAGAAGAAAGCTCCTTCCGGGTGCCAGACACAGCAACCCTAAACCCCTAAACCCAAATCCCCTAAACTTCTAAACCCTAAACCCCAAACCCTAAGCCCCAAAGTCGCTGCGCCATCGAGTGTCTCACGGAGCGGGCAGCGCCTTTCCTTGCTGCCACGCTCATGGAGCCGCGTTTAGGGTTTGGGGGTTACCCATAGGCTCCTAAGTAGTTCCTTTGTATGGTTCATATTTAGAATCCTATACGGTAAGCCCAAAAAGGAACTACTAAGGAGCTTAGGGGTTTAGGTTTAAAAGGGGTTTAGGGCAGCCAAACTCCGAGACTTGATGTGCTGTGGATTGCGATGCGGGAGCTTGAGGGGCAGTTCTCTAAACTAGGAGTAGGGTCCGTTTCAGGGTCCTTTCTACAAGGGTGCCCGTACTAAATTTTGGGAGAAAGGGCCTTAAATTTGAGAACTACCCATATAGAACCCTTGTAGTGCCCTTATAGAATCCCTTGTTGGTTTCTTGAAGGAGCCCTAACAAGGCACCATAATTTTGATAAATCATCGAATCATAAACCCCAAAACCCCAACAAAGGCACGTTTTAACAGGCAAACACCTAAAGCGTGTAACCCTTCGAATCGAAAGGAGAGTGATGGCTGCGCGCTGTGGAAGCTCATCAACAAGGCCGCTCTGCTGCAGTTTGGGTTTAGGTTGTAGAATATGGATTGGGGTAAAGGTAAAGGGTTTCTTGGTTTAGGTTTCCGGATATCCGTGTTTAGTGCTTTAGGGTTTTAGCGTGGCCGAAGCGGGCCGAAACTGCTCGTCTTGGGGCTGTGCCTTTAGTGGGTCATGGGCTCACGGTTAGAAGGCCAAAGGTCCGAACTACTGTTGATGATATAAATCCTGCATTGCCCCAGAAGGAATATACCATAAATTCCTATAGTTTAGGGTCCTTAAAGGCAATGCAGCATTTAGATCATCAACCGTA